CCCACTGGGTGAAGTTTCTTCTGGAGGCTCCAGGGGGGAATCTGTTTCCTGGCCTTTCCAGCTTCTGGAGCCGCCTGTGCCCCTCGATCTTCACAGCTGGCGAGGCCGGTGGAGACCTTGCACATCCCCAGACCTCCTCTCCTGCTCCCTTTCCCACTGTCCCGAGCCTGGGATGATGCTGTGCCGCCGGGATACTCCAGGCTCTCCTTGCTGTTGTGAGGTCAGCAGACCAGCACCCTGGGTGCAGCCTGACTTCCAGGGTCCCTCAGAAGCTGACCGATTCACAGTGAGGGGAGTAGGACCTGGACATGTTTGGGGGGCCCCTGTTCTGCCCACCCCAGTTGCCAGTCTCTCCTTCCACCTTGAGCTGGTTCCAGGCGGCGGGGCCTTGGCACCCCCTTCCCTGCATCTTCCTCCACCTGCCGGGGGCGGCGAGTACCCTTCTGGGCCTCTGGCCTTTCTGGGACAGCCAAGTCGCCTCCCACACGCAACGCAGGGACAGCCCACTCGGCCGCCGCTGGGCCATGTGGGCAGGCCCGGGAGGAGAGCGCTATGCAGCTTAATCCCACCACCGCTGTCCCCAGCATACCCGTCTTCGGGCAGCATCCTGGCCGCCGGCCTTCACGGTGCACTTTGTTGGGTGGTCGTCATAAAGCGCAGATTCACCTGGGCGTCTGCTCCCGGCCAGTCAGCCTGAGCTTTCCGTGCCTTATCTAGTCATCCTCCCAGTGACCTGTTTATGGTTCAGAAACGAGCCTTGGAGCTGACGTAACCTGCTCGGAGCTGGGATTTTTTTGTTTTTTTGTTTTTTTGCAGTACGCGGGCCTCTCCTGTTGCGGAGCACAGGCTCTGGACGCGCAGGCTCAGCGGCCATGTCTCACGGGCCCAGCCGCTCCGCGGCATGTGGGATCTTCCCGGACCGGGGCACGAACCCGTGTCCCCTGCACTGGCAGGCAGACTCTCAACCACTGCGCCACCAGGGAAGCCCCGGATTTTTTTTTTTTAAACTTAAAAAACAAAATTGTGGTAAAGGATAACATAGAATTTGCCATTTTAACCGTGTGTGAAGCATGTGATTTGGGGGCATTCATGACTTTCACGGTGTGGTGTAGCCATCACTACTATTTCCAAAACTTTTTCATGACTCCAAACAGAAATTCTACACCCATTACCAGTCACTGTCCATTCCCCCCCCCCCCCCCCGCCCTGGAAACCTCTACTTTCTGGTTCTGTGAACTTGCCTGTTCTAGATATTTCACGTAAGTGGAATCGTACGGTATGTGGCCTTTCCTGACTGGCTTCTTTCACTCGGCATCATGTCTTCAAGGTTCATCCGTGTTGTACGCAGCCCGCGGTAGTCCTTCATGCCTGTGTTTTGGGCGGCGGAGGTGCTGCTAGTTTATTTGGGAGTCAGTTCCCGGGAGCAGGATTGAGGGAGCCGGCACTGTGACAGAGAAGCAGCGAATTCAATATAAGGGCTTTTAAAATTGAGGCATAATTGACCTATAGCATTGTATTAGCTTCAGGTGTACAACATAATGATTTAAAAAAAAATTTTATTGAAATATAGTTGATTTACAATGTTGTGTTAGTTTCAGGTGTACAGCAAAGTGATTCAGTTATACATACATATATATAAAAAAATATATATATATAATTTTTCTGCATTCTCTTCCATTATAGGTTATTACAAGATATTGAGTAGAGTTCCCTGTACTATACAGTAGGTCCTTGTTGGTTATCTATTTTATGTATAGTACTGTGCACATATATATATATATATATATATGTATGTATATATTTTAAAGAAGATGTTGGGGGTAGGAGTTTATTTATTTATTTTTGCTGTGTTGGGTCTTCGTTTCTGTGCGACGGCTTTCTCTAGTTGTGGCAAGCAGTGGCCACTCTTCATCATGGTGTGCGGGCCTCTCACTATCGCGGCTTCTCTTGTTGAGGAGCACAGGCTCCAGACGCGCAGGCTCAGTAGTTGTGGCACACGGGCCCAGTTGCTCCGCGGCATGTGGGATCTTCCCAGACCAGGGCTGGAACCCGTGTCCCCTGCATTAGCAGGCAGATTCTCAACCACTGCGCCACCAGGGAAGCCCTGTGTACGTATATTTTTAAAAATATTTACTTATTTGGCTGTGCCAGGTCTTAATCGCGGCATGCGGGATCTTTAGTTGCGGGATGCGGGCTCTCAGTTGCAGCGTGCGGGATCTAGTTCCCTGACCAGGGATCCAACCCAGGCCCCCTGCATTGGGAGCATGGAGTCTTAACCACTGGACCACCAGGGAAGTCCCAGTAGTGTGTATATTTTAATCCCTAATTTATCCCTCCCCCACCAACATAGTGACTTGATATGGTATCCTGTGAAATGACCCCAACAAGTCACTATACACAGTTACAAATTTTTTTTTTCTTGATGAGTTCTTGGATGACAAGTTCTTTTTTTTTTAATAGACCTTTATTGGAGTATAATTGCGTCACAATACTGTGTTAGTTTTTCTTGCACAACTGAATCAGCCATATGCATACACATGTCCCCATATCCCCTCCCTTTGAGCCTCCCTCCCACCCTCCCTATCCCACCCCTCTAGGTCATCGCAAAGCACCGAGCCGATCTCCCTGTGCTATGCGGCTGCTTCCCGCCAGCCACCTAGTTTACATTCGGTAGTGTATATATGTCGATGCTACTCTCACTTCGCCCCAGCTTCCCGCTCCCACCCCAAGTCCTCAAGTCCATTCTCTATGTCTCCCTCTTTATTTGGATGAGAAGTTCTTGATGAGAACTTTCAAGATCTACTTTCCTAACAACTTTAAAATATGCAACACGGTATTAATAACTACAGTCACCATTCTAGACATTACAGCCCCATGTCCTACTTATTTTGTAACTGGAAGTTTCATTCCTTCCTAAGGCTGAATAATATTCCATTGTGTAGAGAGACCATATTTTGTTTAACTACTCATCAGTTAACAGATACTTGGGTTGTTTCCACCTTCTGGCTATTGTGAATAGTTCTGTGAACATGGATATGCACGTTTCTGTCTGTGTCCCTGATTTAAATTCTGTGGGGTATATATTTAGCAGTGGAATTGCTGGGTCTTATGGTAATTCCATGTTTAACTTTTTGAGGAACCGCCCAATTGTTTTCCACAGTGGCTGCACCGTTTTCCATTCCTACTAGCAGCATACAAACAAGGGCCTCCATTTCTCTGCAGCCTCGTCAGCACTTGCTATCTTCCGTTTTTTGAGTTTGGCCGTTAGCGGCTCTGCGGTGGGATCTCACCGTCGGGCTGGCTGCATCCCTGCGACTGCTGCTGCTGAGCACCTTTTCATGTGCTTAGAGAAACAGGTGCACATCTTGGGAGAAATATCTATTCAAGTCCTTTGCTCATTTTTTGTTGGGTTGTTTGTCTTTTTGTTTTTGGGTTGTAGGATATCTTTATATATTCTTGTTACTAAACCCGTATCCAGAGCTGGAATTTGAACGCTTTCTGAACGCTGCTCCCTTCCACCCCCCGGGAGATGCTGTGGCCCCCTGGGCCCCTCTTAAGCAGGGCTGTGGTTTATTGCCAGGCCTGGGCTCGCTTGCTCTTTGACGCTTGTGCTGTGACCACCATCCTTCGGGGCCTGATTAGGGGGTGTCCTTGGCAGCTTCGGGGAAAGCTCCCAGGATCAAAGGGCCCAGGCAGTCTTGCCGAGCTTGGAAGCCTGGGGGGTGGCCCCAGCAGTAGGGGGAAGGAGGCTGGAATGGGAGCCGGGGGTAGGGGTGTGAGGTTCGGCCGCCTCCCCTGGCAGGCTGTCTTGAGGGCTGTATAGCACCACTGCTCAGTTGGTCGGAGCCAAAACCACCGTAGCTGCCAGATGAGGTGGAGGCTCGGTGGGGGTGCTGGTGTGTAGATAGCAGGGGTGTCAGTGCTGCCTGGGGGATTCTGTGGGCTTCCTGGGCAGCGGTTCTAGGATGTGGGAACCCCGACTACCGCCCCCCGCCCCCGCCCCGACATCTCCAGCAGACGCGGGCTGTCCCACCATCAGGCTCCAGGACCGGTATGTGGAACACATACCCCGTGAGGCACATCCTGCCCACACTGTGTCACACTGGGACACAGAGGCCCAGAGAGGGTGGGAATGCACCATGGCCACACAGCAGGATCAAGACTGACCTCGAGATGGGCTTGTGGCACCACCATAGCTTGGGCAGGAAGACTCTGAGCCTGAGTCTCCCCTCTGGGGCAGAAGTCCTTGTTGTGTTTCTCCTTGCATACCCCCAGGGACAGGCAGCTCACCACCTGTGAGGCAGCCTGTTCCATTGCTGGGGGGCTCTGACAGAAAGTTCTCTGGTCTGGGAGGAAGAAGGCAGCCCTGTCACACACTTCCATTCTGAGCACTAAAGGGCAGCGACTTCCTGGGTCACTAGGAGGGAAGCGTAGGCCAGGATTCAACCTTGGCCTGGCCAATTCCATTTGGGGCCCAGCCTCTGCTGCAGCCCTGGACACCCTCTTCACAGGCCAGCCTGAGGCCGCCCAGCTGCTGGATGGGTAGGAGGGGCGGGCACTGAAGGCACTGGAGACGGGTACTGACTGTCCTAAGGGTGCCTGGGACGAGCCCCGCCCTCGCCGGCCTGGATCCCAATCTGTGTGTCAGGACGCTGGTTCCACCTGAGGGCCTGTCTCCTCTGCCAGGGAACCAAGGGACACAGCAGACCTGGAGTGGGAGGGTTGACTGTCCCCTTGAGCATGTGATGCCCCCCGGCCCTGTCCCTCCGTGCCCCTGGATACAGCACCAGCTGCTTCACCAGCCTTAAGCCTGCCAGCCCCCTCCCACAAGCAGAGGTTTCTAGAAGGCACCGCTCTCTTGCCCCAAGGCCCCCACCCCACCCTGTTCTCTTCC